TCCCAAATTAAATCGAGCACATTTTTATACTGTTCACATTTTATTTTTTAATTTTCTCTTTTCTTACTTTATAAAAATTCATATATTTCTTTTCTTTCTCCTATTTACACTTAATCCTTTTTTTCCGAATAGAATAATTTAAATTTTTTATCTTTCCATGATTTCTTATGTGAAAATTCAGTTTCCAGATGCAAATGACAAAAATAACTAAATACATGACTATAACTTCTGATTGAAGTTTATTATTAAGTTGAAAATAGAAGTCAGAACCCAGAAACACACACACACACACACACATATATATATATATATAGAGAGAGAGAGAGAGAGAGAAAGTTCTTTATTTTAAATATTCCGATAAAAACAATACTGAAGCAATATAAAATAACACTGAAATATGAAATCGTAGCAATAAATGCGCATAACTTGTTCTTAAAAATAAATTATTCATAAAATGTAAACATTGTCAACGTGATTAAAGTTTACTGGTGTTCACAGATTAGTGTTCTCAGCATTTCACTTTTATATCATTACGTTTTCAGTCGATATATACTTTGGACTACAATCTGAATTATGGGAATTCGAAAGAAAGTAACTTCAGGTGAAATATAATTTGTCTCTTTTTACGACAATGGTTTCCTATATCACGTAGCAACAATTGTGATATCTTGGACTAATATTAATGTCAATTTTCCAATTTTTATTTTTACAACACCAAAGAGCCACTCGAGGTAGATAGTTACAGAATGAGACACACAGTTTATGAGGATATGTGAGGAAGATAACAGCTAACTCTAGATTTGAACAAGTTAAGATTGTAGTGATCTTTGAAGAATCCTGCTAGGAATCGGTTCCACAATGCAGTGGCTCGTGGGTAGCTACAGCTCGATTGGAACTGACATTTTACCAATGGAATACGAAAGGAATGAGGGTGTTTATCTTCAATGTGCGTTTCATGGCAGGTTTAACCGTGATGGTTAGAACTGGTAGAACTAAGAAATTTAGTTAGTCTGAAAGCTTTCAATGGAAATAGCAATAGAGCAGCGAGAGGCTTGCGATTTTGCCTCTGTGGGTAGAGTAGAAAATAATTCATTACTCAAAAGGACAAGGAGACGCTTTTGGACTCTATCGAGACTGGAAAGTAAAGTCTTGGTAGCTCCTGCCCTTACATGGCAACAGTACTCCAGCACGAGCAGTCGGGTACTTACTGGAGCAATACGGGTACCGACTATTTTCCCAGAATCTTTAGCGATGGATCTATGTACGAGCTCCACTTTCAGTTTAAGTTCCAATACGCGCTCAACGCACAGGGACTCACTGAGTGAACATTAGGAACGTCACTAGATTGGGTTTCGGGGATTTTAAGATGACCATCCAGTTTAGTCTCCCACTGAGCTATCAGAGCTAAGTCAGAGGTGAAAGCAAATATAGAGCACCCAGTGAGGATCGGTCACACTAGTAAATATTAATGATCAATCAAATAAGCTCACTAACCGTTACTGCACGCTAGAGCACCCATAGTGACTGTTTGTTGTGTACTTGCATTAAAGGTCAATGTTTTCTTGAAGGCTATCAGTCACTGCCGGCGGAAATAAAAAAAAAATTATCCCGCTGTAATGGATTTTTGACAACCAGATTTTATTCTGTCAAATTTTATTGCTGACATTTTTGTATTTCCCAAAAATTAAAAATATCAAAGATATTCCCAGATAAGGCGTTGCATGGCTGAAAGATTACCCAAGGATGAATGATAAGCCTTAAATGAAATTACCATTCACTATTAAACATTTTTAAATTATCGAAGAAATGCGCATGCAAAGGGCTTCATTATTACGTAAATGAAGCAGCCTATTAACACCTTGAACATCTATGTCTGTTTCGCTAATGCGTGCAGGCTAAGAATTGGATAATAGGACTTCACTAAGAACTATATAGCAATGTTGAAAAGAAAGTATTAGTTTACAGTGTGAGGACAAAATGGAGGCAATGCCCGTAATTCAAAAACGGCAACGTCATTTCATTAATGATCATTTTTGCATTTGACTAGCACCTTTGGCAATGAGATATCTTGAAATAACCAACATGTTAACTCTAGAATCTCTAAAGATAATGGAGACCGACAGACTAACGAATCAATTTCATATTCTTTTACTTTGATGTAAATCTATATTTTTGTGAATTAGGTCAGCTAATAGGAAGTTATATCACAAAAAAAGTTTGCGATTCCCTCTGCCTTTTCTGCAAATATTTTTATGTCCACTGCTCTGACGGGCTTTTTCCATGTTGCCGGGACTACGTGTGTTTAAGCGGGCTACCGATTGGCATCTAGGTCCCACCCGTTTATTGTTGAATTAGATAAATGTAGCCGCTACTTCCACTCCAACAGTTTATTTTCTAGCACTTCCTGCATGTGGAACACCCTTTCTGTTTACTTGCTTCCCTGATAACTACGATCTTCAAAAATTGAAATGCAACATCAATCGCCATCTTCTATGTTCTTGAACCCCGTTCAGATTTTATCCTTTCCCCTTTCCCCTTTCCCCTCTATAACCAGTCATTTCTCCCTCCTTTACTCTCTGTAACCATCTGCGTACTAGTGGCATTTTTACCTTGCTTGGTGTGAAAAGATTTTTTAAAAATAGGAAATTATTTTGTCACGTTCAATTCAACTTACTGAATTTTTCCCTTAAATACTTTAATTCCTTAGAACAATAACAATAATAGTTTTTATTTTAGTTTATTAACTTTTTGGAAAAGAACCTAAAATCTTGCTGTCTTAACTTTATAGCTATAATTAATGTTCTGAGTGACAGAGAAATTACATTCTGCCGGTGAGAACCGATCCCGAAATCCATTTACCACTAAAACAAAGTAATTCCGCATTATTTAAACATGATTCTCTGAAGATTATTTTTTTTGCTGCTCAGTAGACACATATGGATGCATGATGGTGGAATCGGTGACGAATCGGAATGAGAAATCGGAGAGCCGAATTCCAGTTGCATTTGTTGCATTCACTTTCGCGCAACTACCATTTGAAATCGTATAAATCCATTTCTTCTCCCCCAGCCATGGATAAAGTTTAGGACAAACTGAACACTATAGCTTTGTTTGGCAACCAGTCTACGAGAAGTAAATCTCTCCCGTAGAGATTTTGGTTTCGTTAGCTCAACCCAATACACAACAATACTGCTACAGCTGCAGTACATATGGTATCCCTACGGCCCTAATGATCGTGAGACACTGATAGATACAATGAAACTGAACATATATGGGGGAATGCATCGGTAAGTCTAATACTGAAAAAAAATATCTGGCACCTTTTTATCGGTTTGGGCCCATGAATGAGGAACTAAGAATAGTGGTTCTCCAGTGATGATGAAATGAATGAGGCAAGTTGGAGATGGCCCCGAAGCAACTAAGTATTTTCAGCAAGACGAGTATGCATTATCTCATTTAAAGGTGAAATACCACAATTGACAAGCAATGAGAGGATGTTGACAACTAGATCTGATATCCTGAGACTTTTTGGTTTGTATTCTGTGCTTCTGTTAAAATTAAAGAACATGTATCACTCTTTTAACTGACATTCCTACTAGCATTGTGTCTTTGTGTGTTTGAATGTCGACATGTCCAGGAAAAGGAATGGTCACGGAAACCAAAATGACTTGAAAGTTACAATCCTTTTTAACCGATTCAGCCATTATCTTCCTTGACACGAACCAGTCATATTAATTAACGAATGTTACTAAAACCAAGAAAGAAACATACAATACTTTTATTCATTTAATACCTTAAATGTCATTGCAAGAGAAATTGCTTATCGATCCTCATATCTAAAGAGATTTAAAATGTATTGATAAGAAAACCGAAATCGATTTTGGTGGAATGGATTAAATTACTAATTATAATGATTGTTATGAATATGAAGATAGTACACATATCCATAGATATGTATATGTAAAGATAAAATGCTTGTTTCCTTGAACCCTATATATATATATATATATATATATATATATATATATATATAATATGCTGAAAATTAAAGAGAAACACTGAAAGTACTAATTCATAATAGAGTAAAATGATAGGTTGTGTTAATTGAATGAATGAAAGCATACGAGAGAGTGAGAGAAAATAAACAGATGTAAGCAGAATGAGACGGACAGATGACAGGCATGTACATTTTGAGGCGGAAAGATAAGCAGATTGGGACAGAAACGAGTAGATACGATCAGATTGAGATGAGCAGATACGAAAGTTTTAGAGATCGAGAGATGATCTAAGTGAAGCATGAGTAGTTACGATCAGATTGAGACGGAGGGTAGATACTGGTAGATTCGCGGAGTTTATGACGATCAGTTTTTATTTTATTTGTTTGCATAAAACCTAATAGAGTACTGCTGTTCCTGATGATCGAACTCATGAGCAACGATTTCTGAGACTAACTTAATTATTACTCAACTACTGGCGTTGAGAAACGAATAGGCATATGTGACATTTATTCTCTTTTATAGCCTCTTTTTGGAAAATTCTGAACATATTAATGCTATTGAGAAGGGGTTGGTGGCTGTGAAAGAGATTAATGAAAATGGAGAGATAGATAGTCCGGTTATTTATGGAAGTTGCATTCTGATTTTAATCGCTTCATAGTCTTATTGCGTATGCGTGGTAGATTTTGTTACAGACATTATTTTCAACTAATTCTGTCTAACTGGGCTGCTTTCAAGTTCGCAATAGAGCACTGATTTTCAGGCTATGAATTCGGATTGTTTTTTTTTTATTTCTTTTGTTTTTATTTTCTTTTTCTTAAAAGCCTTTTACCTAATACTGTACAAATTCGTTTTCTCTCTCTCTTTCTCGTGCTTTCCCAAGATTTCTCATACTTTCATTATTCAAGTCTTCTCTCTCGCGCGTTCGTGTGCACCTATTTTAAAGAACAAATTCCAGTGCGCATGTGTACATTCTGAGCTAGCCGAAAAGCGCACGATAAATGAATGACGTCATTATTATTTTTTTCTATATCCCTTTTTATTTGTCACTTTCCCTTTTTTGCTCTCTTTTTCTTTCTTTCTTTCTTCATTTCGTTTCTGTCTTTGTCTCTTTTAATAGTTTATTTTTGTGATTTTATCTTTCTATTATTTTACTTTCCTGATTTTTCCGACCCGAATTCTTTTCCGCAATTTTATATTCATTTCCAAGCCTTTCTTGTTTAAAATGATCGCTTCGTATGTTTTTAACATTAATTCATTTTATTTTATTTTTTTTCTGTTTCGCTAAACATTTTTTACCACCTTTTCGTATTTTTTATTTTATATTTCACTTTAACCTTAATGGCATCTTTTCTTTATTCATCTTTTTCTGTTATTGCTCAATTCTCCTTTTTCGTTTTTTTCGTTTTATTATTTTTTCACTCTTTGAGTTTTTTTTTCTCCCTTTATTTCCTTTATTTATTTTTTCACTCTTTCCTTTTCGTGTAACTTCTTCGTCCTTTTTTCTTCCTCATATAGTTCGTCGTTTGATATTAATTTCATTGCTTCATTCCTGTTTTTCTTCCTTCTTACATTGTTCTGTTTTCTTTTATTCACCCTTTTCTTCCACTTTTTTTCTTTCCACCTCTCTAGTCTTCTATTTCTTCTTTATTTGTACGTTTCTTCATTCCTTTTCTTCATTTCTTTTTCTTTCGTCCTTTTTTATTTTTTCATTCTATACTTCATTCCTCCCTTTTTTTTCATTACTTTTTCTGTTGTCATTCTTTTTCCTTTTCGCTGTTCCTGCTTTTCTCCGTTTTTTTTTAATTTTATTTTGTGGTTCTTATTTTTCGTTTAAGCCGCCTTTTCTTTCCCCACCACTCCACTCTTTCCTCATTTCTATTAACTTTAAGCTCTTTCACTCTCTCCCCATTATTTCCTTCACTTTAAGTCTCTTTCGTTCTTCTTTCATCATATTCATGCATTTACACACACGGTTATCTCTTCTTTTTCTCACTCATTCATATCACTTCTCCTCTCACTTCTTCATTGCCTTCAGCATTTTTCCGACCCACCATTTTTCTTGCCTACAATCTTAAAATTGTAATTTTACTCACAGCTTCAATTGCTAATTATTGATTTTCGATCACTGATCGATGATGCGCTTCTTTTAATCATTCGTTGAACACAGTTCCACTCCTTCTTCTTTCCTTTCACTTCTTTTCAAATCATTCCTCAAATCTTCCGCCATTTTTTTTTCTCGCTCGTTTTGTTTTTTTACATTTTTTTTCTTTTTCCTGTCTTTCTTGTTTCACCACGTATCATTTTGTGGTTATTTTCTCTTTATTTCTTTATCTCTCATTTTTCATTCTATCTTTCAGCTCTTTCATTTCTTTCTGCCCTCTTCATGATTTCTTTTGTAAAATGCCTACCATTCATTTCTATTTGTCCTATTACTACTCCGAAGCGTTTTCGGTCTTCTTTGTTCTTGATTTTCTTCTTCATCTTATCAAGAGAATTTCTTAACCTTAGCTTAGTCAGATGCAAGGACATCTTTTGTCTTATTTCCCCTTTTCTTCTTTCTGACTCTTTCTCGTAATTAATGACTTAATTAGGTGTGTTGTTTTACACACCAGCTTTACCACTCCCCACACCACCACATTGTTACAACGAAGTGGTCATTTGATAGATATAAACAGAATTAATCCTCTTCACATTTGCTCTCGGCATTTTTTTGTTCGTTTCTACATCAGTTTATTTTTCTTATTTATTTCTCTTTTTATCCCCACTCTCTATTTTCTTTTTATCCCCACTCCCTGTTGTTTTCCTTTTTTAATTACTTTTCACTTCTTTCTCTCTCATCAACTTCTTTTCTTTTCTCTCTCTCACTGTTGCATCTATTTTCTTTTCTCTTTTATCTTTCTTTCTTTCTCTCTCTTTTTTCAACTATTTTCATTCAGACATTTTCCCTCTTTCCAACTGTTTTTGTTTCTTTTGTTTTATCTCCCACCTGCTCTCAATTATTTTGGTTCATTTATTAATTCCCCACCTCTGTTCTTTCTCATTCTCTCCTTTTTCAACTATTTTCTTGTAATTAATTTTTCTTCTCTCTCTCTCTCTCTCTCTCTCTCTCTCTCTCTCTCTCTCTCAGCTGTTTTCGATTTATTTTAAATTTCCCTTTTTCTCTTACACTCTCTTTTCCAAAGACTTTAGTTTTAATTTCGTTGTCTCTTCTTTTGTTTAACCCTCTCTCTGCAAACTATTTTCCCTTCAGTTTACTTTCCTCTTTACCCTTTTTTTCTCTTGTTTCATTATCTTTATTTTTTTTACTTTGTCCTGATACTTTTTTTCAGCTTTCTATTTCTATCAGCTTATTTCCTTCAACACACACACACAATAAATATATATATATATATATATATATATATATATATATATATGTGTGTGTCTGTGTGTGTGTCTGTGTGTGTCTTTTGTTCCCTATTAAATTTCTTGTATATCATTTTTATGGCTTCTTTTTTCATTCAAAACAGCAATTTCTTCGTTTCCATTCTCTTCTCTCTCAAATGACATTTTTTTTTCCAAGATTTTTTTATGCAGACACATTTTTCATGCTATTTTCTTTGCTTCCTTCGTTCTCTATTCCTAGATTCTATTTGCTCTTCCATTCAAATTTCTTCTTTTTTTTTTTCACCATTTTTATCGTTATTGTTCTTTGCTGGCTACCGGCTTCATCAATGCTCAATTTTGGTTGATAGCCCTTCTGATTTTCCCGAACTATTTTTGGTTGATGTTGAAGCACTGAATAACATTTTAATCGCGAAAACAAAACGGTTTTGACTGCTGCCAAAGAAGTGTTGAAATGAAATGCGAGGACGGTTTAATAGCAGAAATAATAAAAAGAAACTAAGCTCAAAGCTTTCAGGTCTTCAAATCAAAAATATGCAGACAGAACATTTATATTTAAGTTGGAAATTTAACAATCGGTGAAATAGCAAGGGACACATTATCATTCTTTAGCATGGAACCTGATAGTTTTTTTTTTAATTCATCTACAATTATTCATAACTTTTGAGTTTCCAAGGAAGCAAATATTAGAGCGGTACTTGATCGGGCAATGATCAGCACACACACATATGCACACACACACACACGCACACAAAGAGTGTGTTCCAAAAACATGCTCGCTTTTAGAATTCGTCGTCACACGCAGTTATTGTCATTTAAAGAATGAGTACATTTTTGAGGGACACCATATATATATATATAAAATGTGTGTGCGTTTGTAAGTTGATAGTATGACTGTTTTCTTCAGAGCGGCTTCGAAGGCAAAAGTCTTTTGTGACCTTTATAAAGCAGACACTTACCTGTTGAATGGCCGTCTCAGATGGATCCTTGTCGTCCATGAAAAGACAACCTCTGACCATCTAAACTGTAGTGTCAGTCCATAATTGTTTCAGATTACTTTTTTGTTCTAACAACAGGCTATCAATTTTGAAAACAGGCTGAGTGCCAGCATAAAAGCTGACTAAATGTCGTTTGCGTTTAGAAAAAGTTTGGAATTGCTGTCGCACTTGACTTTACCAAGAGACTCGTGAAATTGGATAATGATTGTGAGAAACTTTGTTAGTTGCTAAGATTGTTCAATTTGCTTATGATATCAAATGTCTTTGTTTGCCTAAAGTAGATTACATAAACCTGTTTGCTTCATGTCGATTTTTCTATCTTATAACAAGTACCATGTTTGTTGTACCACGATTTTTACACTTCTTTATAGGGTCATATTCTGAGTTATATACAACGCCACTGTTCCTCTCATTAAAGGCTTCTATCAAGGGAAATTTCAGATAATTCTCAAATTACAAGATTTGGACACTAATAAATTTCTTATGAATTGTTATACTAAAAAGATCGAAATACAGAAGACGTGGAAGTTATTGGATTTTGAATGTAACTAATACTAAGATTCTGAGTTTTTATGTCTTCATGTAATTTCTAAGCTGAAAGAATGCATTATAGCAGGGATATTTCATGTTCTTATTCATAAAATACTGTAACAAACTTTTTTTTTATTTATGGATCATGTGCAACGTATTGATAATTGTATAGGATTTGCCTTCAAATTAAAAAAAATGAAGGGAGGTAACTACTGAATGAAAAATAGAGAAATAAAATCAAGCTAAAAAACTTATCTCGTTTCGCACATGATATACAGAAAGGAACGCATTTTTCGAAGAAACGAATAGAACAATAATTTGTATCATAATTTTCTCTTGATTGTCAACTAAACAAGTTAGAGAATTATACAGTTGCAGATATTAATAATTACGACTTCAAACCCTGCTTAAAAGATCCTCGTATTTGTGAGTGATTTACTGTAAATGCCTCCCTCGTCAGTCAGCCATATCAGTTTGGATTATTCTTAAAAGCAACTGCTTATTTTTTTTTAACTTAATCATGGCTGTCGAAACTTTTGCAAAATGACCAGGTCATCATTGCGTCTGAAGTCTTTTTTCTTTTGAAATACTAACAAACTTGCAGTTGAACGTGTTTTAACGAAAACAAAATTAAATCAGTGACTAATGTGACAGGCCAATCTTGAAACCGGGTTTTTGATTATATGGTATCCTCAACGGCGTCTTCCAAGTTTCGCTCCAGCTGGATCCAGTTTTCTTCAAGCCGTTTCGTTATTACATTAATGTCACAAATAGCCCATACCATTACCATGGCCAGTCTCATCTTATTGCTGACCCTTTAAGAAATACTAAATAATCATCACTAGAAAAAGAGCTACTTAATTTTTATATAACTACCTCATTTACATTTTTCTATTTCTCATAGTTGAAATATATATATATATATATATATATATATATATATATATATATATATAGGGTGATTTGAAAAGTAACTTCCAATTTTATGTATGATGGACTTTTTTTGTCTTGTAAAATTATAGCTAAACGAGAGAGTCCATCATGCATAAAATAGGGATTTACTTTCAATCACTCTCTGTGTGTATAAATCGTCAGATAGAAATACATATATCTGTAAAAGACAGTTTGGAACAGTGGAAACAGCATTACCAATAACTAACCAGCACTAAAAGGAAAATTGAACAAGACGGTATATACATAGATATGGATAGCGGAAAGAGAGCAATCTACCCCCCCCCCTAGACAGAATAAACGGTAGATTTGGAAATTCCCTTAAGGATACCCGGATCGACAGACACTTGAAAAAGACATCAAAACAGCCGAAACAATGGGGATGATGGCATTAGTCCGACTGTAATTAATGGAAACAATAAGACGGCTTTAAAATGCTAATTTTCAAATCAGGTCCCCTGTATATTGTCTTAATCTTGTAAAAGACTAATACGGCAGATACCCGTTAGGGATACCCAAACAAAACTCAGAAACCAGTTGAAGGCTTCTAGCATCACGAGAGACTGTCTGAAATCTTTTGATTCATAAATCTCACGTCTTAGCTATTTTTGTTAGAAATGAACTTCCGGTTCCGGTAATCAATTGTGTACACTATATTGCAGTGGTTATTTGAAAAATTAACTCAACACGATCTTCCAAGCTGGATTTACTTTCATTTGGATTTATCTGGGAATATAGCTGAGTAAAATCTATAGAATGATCATTGATGCTAAACAAGTATTTTTATGCAAAACAAAGAGGAAACGGAAGTAGGAAGATTGTTTTGTACTAATCTACTAAGACGGTATAGCTTACCACTCACAATAATCAGCATTCCAAATCTTAGATTTTATCTGAGATGAAACAAACCAGTGGCACCTAAAATATATATGCAACTACTTCGGCTACAAAGCATGTCACTTCTATGTACTGTGTCTTCAAAATGTGGACGATAATGTCTCCCCACGATTTCTTACCTTCGTCGTTCTAAGAAACGTTTTTCCCCCTACTATCTCACCCAGTCTCTGTTCTGTCATCCATTTATACAAGCTCATTAGGTAGATTAATCACTGTTTACTCCTGTCCCTCTTGTCATCAATATGTCCTGTGAGTGTCAAATTATGCAAGCCCTCTTTTCTTATGTGTCCCAGAAATGTCAACTGTTGCTTTTCTGATTCTAAGTACGAGTGTTCTTTATGTTGCTATTTCCATTAAAACTCCCTCGTTGCTAATATATTCCGTCCATTGTATTCTAAGCATTCTTCTTTAGAACCACATCTCTGTTGTCTCAAGTTTTCTCTTCATCTGTGAGGAATTTGTCCAGGATTACTGTCATCTCAGAAGACTGATATTAAAAGCCTTTCAGTAAACTTTTCTAACTTACTTACCACTAACATTTTTTCAATCCCGTCTATTGTGATTTTCTCAGCGTAGCTTTGATGTGGCACAAGGTCGAAAGTATGCGATACACAGTTAGGATCGAACTTGCTGTTCAGTTGTAATTTATCTAGAGAGACAAACTTGCTAGTCATTACACCACATCGAAGTGCCCATTTTTCCCGTTTATGTTTGACTGGCTTCTTCAATATTGCCTCGACGGTTGAATACCTTATTCTGTTAAAGACCCTCCTCAAAATTATGAACAATATTTTTTGCGTACTTATTGATATTCACTGGACTTGGTATACTGGAATTAGGAAGATATATTTTTACGCGTAACTGCCTTGAAAATATGCATTCAAAAATCAGAATTCCTTACTGGACTCTTCTGTCAATGAAAATTAAATAAGTATGCAGTGTTGCTGCTATATCTGAGTTGGTACGGTTCATTATACTTTCCAGCCTTGATAGAGTTCAAGGTCCTTTATACCACCTTGTGAAGGTTGACTTATTTCCCACCCTGCATCCTCTTTCCCCGCAGACGGAACGTCGCAAGTCTTACGTTATTCCTATTGCAAATGTTCGGCCGAGTTCCATTTTTTAGTTCGACCAGTTCAAACATTTACAGCTAAGAAGTAACATCCTACGGAGTTTAACCAGCTTCCTTCCCTACGTGTTCCCGTTGTATAGAGAAAGTTCCGCTTTGATAGCTTTTACCCCAAAAACTGTTTTGTGGAATAGACTCCCGTGTGTATGCTTTCCCAAACGCTACAATCTTAATCTCATCAAATTAAGACTCAATCGTTATCTTCTCATAATCTTAATTCTGTACTTCATACTCGTACATACATATCATACACTTGA